AGCTGCCACTAAATATGAATACCTCTTTACCTTTTAAATCAGTTCTTAGTTCGTTTATAGCATCCATTATAGCAAGGACCTCGGCGTGGAAAACACTACAGTAGTCCGGTAACCGATATGAATGGATCAGGGCAGGGCTGTGAGACAATATCCAATCCCTTGTACTTTTGTGAGTAGATCAAGGTAGGCCATCATACTATAATTGCATAAAGAAGAATCCAGCTCAGGTTTCTGTCGAGAATGACGCCTAAGAATTTCGCTTTATTCATAAAGCTTAATAGTCGCCCGTTTAGTTCCGGCGTTGTCAGTAGCGGTGTCTCGTATCTTCACGTACAGAGTATAAGTTCACATTCTCCGAATTGACGCGGAGGCCCAAACGCGTGGACCCTTTTGATACATTGCGAATTGCCCTCTGCATCAAGGCGCACAGAGTTAGCGGGAACTTGCTTCACGACTTCGTCTCTCGCAGGAGAGATTCCACATCTTGAAGCCGACTTCTCACCAACGTTTGCCATGATCACACTGCACAAGAGTATTTGCCTTATAAACTCCACCAGAGAATCTTTAGTTTAACTTCAACTCATACTTTCATGTCTTCTTTCATTCTATCTCGTCAATGATGAAGATTATACACAATCCCCGTAGAAATAAAATAAAACACATGACCGAATAGAATTTCTTGGAAAGCAGAGTTTTACAACCATCTATGAGTTTCCCACAATTATTCCATAAAATTTATTTTATTCACTTTGAATGGGCGGCAATCGCCGATACCGACATAGCCTAATGGTACCATCTATGACATCTAAAAAAAAAAAGAAAACATTTACCAGATACAAATCGAAAGCGTAGGCGGCAAACCATTTGCAATTAAGCTACTGACTGGCAACATCAATGCTCGGCTCCATGTATTGCCAGCGGGGGACGGGCAGAGAGTCAGAAAGAGAAGAGCTAACGAAGTGCTCGCCTAATATGCCAGCCAGCACACAGGGTTATTGGGGGAAAATCGAATATTAGCGCATTCGAACGGAACAGTAAAGAACGATGTGATCACTTCAATCTGACTTCAATGTTTAAATTTCCAGCAGAATAATTGACAAGAAATAAAAGCTAAAAAAAAAAATTAAAATAGTTCGAAAATACAACGCAGTTACGTAAGTACCTAAGTGCTGCGAGGCCCACATAAAAACATGTATGAATGTATGTATGTAGTTACATAAGGGTGCATCACTCTCCATACAAAAAATAAAATCGACAATATTTTTTCTTATACAAATTTGATATATTTTAAGAATTCCGCAAAAATATTTCGGAAAAATATTAAGATTTACATGAGCTAGATCTATATGAAAATATCTCCAAAAGTCAAGTTTTTTATAAATGAAATTAGTTTTTAAAAATATTTTTATTTTATTTTTAAATATTCTAAAAAATCAGCTAATTAATGAAGGAATTTAAGGAGCTTAAAAGGTCTGCATACAAATGTTTAACATTTTTTTTAACGGAATCAAAACAGTGAAATTTTTCATGTATTTTCGATTCCATCCAGCACACGTAAATCTAAATATTTTTAAAATATTTTAGCGGAGGTCTTAAAATATTATAAATTTTAAATTCCGATGGAAAAACCGCATTTTTTTTTTTGACAATGCACCCTAATGTGCACATATTTTTCACATACATTTATTCTGTATGGACACACATTTGTATGTACATATCAAATCACAATTCAAGCGGAAAATACTATAGAACTGGATAAGTAAGCGATCGATTTAATTTCTGCTATATGTATGTATAAACAACTCAGAGTGACAGCGCCAATTTATCTCACTCAAACTTTGAAGTATCGCATGCGATAAAAATGTTTGAAACTCCCAAGTGTGGCTGCTGAATAAGTGACTATTTATTAAGAGTGTAGATGTAGAATGGTAGCAGTTATGGAAGGTGGCCACCGCATTCGCTTAGCAGCAAAGGCCAGATGTCACTTGTTTACATTTTTAGCTCAATAATGACAACTGTGAACTCAAAAAAAAAAAAAACAAAAACAACACAGCAATGACAAGGGTAAGTGTTCAAACGTACAGACATACATACATACATATGTATGTAGAGGAAAGTGCCACATAATTTGAAAGTGCAACAAAAATGCATTTCAATTACATAGCCACAGATGTGTGTATGTATGTATGTAAACACATATGCCACTCGATACTAAATATGATTTTTTGGGGGCGTCAGTGAAATTTTAGCTGCTCGCAGTCTAATCAAAACAAATAAACGAAAGTCGTTGAAAGGTGTGCGATGTATTAGAGTGGAGTGTGATTTATGATTACATACATTCTACACTCAATATTGACAAAGGGTTTTGAGTTGCACACTTATGTACTTACATACATATGTACTTATATGTATGTGTGTATATGTTTGAACAAACATTCATATGTACATACTTAAATAAATTTTACCGCATGTTATGCATATTAGGTCAATGTTCGTTTGGTTTTGGGCATTGAATTACCTACTAAATTTCACTTTGAGGGGAGTTTCGTTTTTACTTCTAAGGGCGCTAGAGCGTGCATTGCTTTACGACCAGGTTCAGTGCACTTTAAAGAGAGGCAGTTGCGCGTTTGCCATTTTTAGCAACATAATAAAATATTTGACATTGAAAGAAATGTTCACCGACAGCATTAACTTATACTAGCTTATGCTCGCGAATTTCACCCCACGTTTTAGTATAAACTAATGTATGTATGTAGTATGTATGTATATGCAAATAAAGTTGAACATGCTATAATATTGAGTCATATGAAAAGTGTCTGCGGATTTTTTTCACTAAGTGATGTTTTATTTTTTATTAAAAATTTTCAGTTTATATTAAAATATCAATACTGTTGTTTCATTTCGCTGTCGGCAGTTGTTCTTAACTATATCAAATAAAAGGTATTTTTATGCTATTTCCAGTGTTGCCATTTTGGTGGTTTTGCAGCTAGATTTAGCTCTTTATTTTTCTATTTAGCTCAGAAAATCGCTCTTTTTTAGCACTTTTCAAATTTATCCAGCACTTTTTTAGCTCCATAAAGTTTTAGTTGTATTTGGTATATATGTATAAGCCAAAACTTAAGCATTGATAAAATGGAAAATTTCAAAATGCAGTGCATCCACCAGAAAAACTCTTGGAACTAGGTTAAAGAATTCAAAAATTAATTAAAAGAAAATCCTTTTTCTGATAGCGCAGATTTTGTTTTACCTTACTAATTTTACCTTTAAGGAGAGCTGGAAGTAAAACTTTCCAAAAAAATTTTGCGAAAAAAATTATTCAATGCAAATATCTTAAATTACAGACTTTAACAGTTTGTAAAGTATTTTTAGTTCACTGTTATAAGTGCCATAGCAACGAATGCGAAATATATGCACGTTATTTTGGTTTTAAAAGATTTTTTCAGCACTTAAACTTATAAAATTCGCTGTTTTTATTAAAATTGTCGAAAATGTAAAAACAACCTTACGTCAATAAATGCTCAACCTTAACAAAAGTATTTTGCTCTTCATTTTAGCTACTATTAGTATTATTTAGCTCCTTTCAGCTCTTTTTTCGGCTGTTTTAGCTCCAAACGAAATTTTTCTCTGGCAACACTGGCTCTTTCTAGTAAATATGTATATTTCCATTAAAAACTCAGTTTACTGGAATCCTGAAGAGCTTTTGATTGCCTAATTATTTTAAATGATTCTTTAAATAAAAAAATCGACAGGTATGTTATTACACACTATGATTGTTCGCAAAAAAATAAAAATAAAAAAATAGATATTTAAAAAAAAAACAATCTACGGAAATTTTTACAGCTGCATATTGTTGGTTATGCTAAAATTTCATGGGCTAAAAAACTGCATATCCAAAAATGTTACAGAAGTTCACAGTAAAAATCTCGAAATCTCGACAGTTTTTAGAATTTTTTCTAAATGTTATATTTAGTTCGAATCTTTGATTTGTGTTTGCTTAAAGCGGAGCCAATATTACTATGCAAACAAAAAAAAACAAGCAAATTTTTAATTGAAAAACATTGTGAATATAAAAAAACACAAAGGATTTTTTGAGTTACTGTATTTGTCTATAATTACACCAGTTTTTTTCAAGTGATGCAGTTTCGTTGAGGCCTTTACTTTCATCGGTTTCGCTTTTGGTTGAAGAAACCCGAAAAGATGCCATTAATATGATCTCAAATATCTACTATATCATTAGTTAAATAAAAAATTCCTTAATAAAAAAATTAAATTTTGATTGAAATAGAACAAAACTATAATTTTTACTAAAATAATAAAAAAAAAGGTTTTTAATAGATATTTTCCAGACTTGGTAAGTTTTTTTCAAGTGGATGGTAACTACTTTTTTTGGTCAGTGCCAACCCTGCACAAAGCCTTTAATTGTGCATCGAGAAGCTTGCGAGTGTAACGAAGTTTTCGATAAATGATAATCTCGTGAGAAAGCAATCTATTGTTTATTATAAATTACTTATTTTAAGTTTTTAAAGGATTTTCTTTTTATTAACTCAATTTGGCCCAATTTTCACACTTTCTTTATAGTGGAATGTTGAGCACAAAAAGTTTCACACCTCCTAGTCCGACCGATATCCAAAAATGTGTTTTCCTAATAAAGCACGCCCCTCGGCAGAAAATGATAAACCTCGGGGTGAATTTCTGCCTGAAATAGCCCCTATAAAAAATCATTTGTGAGGCGCAAAAATATTTAAATTCACAGTAGGTATCATGAAGGTTAATTTAGTACAATGTATAGCCGGAGACAACTTGGTCCTTTCTTGTTTTATCTAGGAGCTATATTTTTTTATGCGATAACAAAGGAATTGTTTATATCTTTTGGAGGGAAAAATCTGTTGAACAGTGTAATTCGATACCAGGTCTTTCTCGCAAGCAAGCATTACATTACTTAACCATGTACTTAACAATGAAAATTATAATTTTTTTTTAAGTCAACAGTTGCAACTTACCCGAAACAATTGGCGTTAGCGGTATGCCGCCACTACCACCATTGCCGCCATCTAATTTATCCTCGTTTTTCAGTGTTGCCGATTTGCCGGGCACGCAGCTAATCGGTTTTTTCGCCTTCCAAAGTTTCATATTAAACACAAATATTTTTCGCAAATCCAATCGAGGAAAAAATCGCCACTCACTGCGCTACAAACATTGCACTGCCAGCAACACTGCACATAAATAAACTTTAAATTTTGTTTCGAAAACGTGCTTTTTTGTTAAAATACCATTCCAAAATTGATTTGAAATTTCACAGTTGTGCGAACATGTAGAGGGGGAAATCTAAAAACCAACAAAAACAAAATAAAAAAAAATCGAGTAAATACGCACTGCACAAGCAGATATTATATTTTGTTTTTTTTTTTTTATTTTTTTTCCGCGCGCCTCAAAGACGCCAAGTTGTGTAGTCGTTGACAAAACGTTGAAGAAATCGAAATTTTTTTTAAGGCCTAAAGTACTTTTCTTGCTGTTCGTTCGTCTATGTACTTTACACGGCTTTTCACCAGATTTTCCCCTTGGCTCGTGCGTATGCGACTGAGTGTACGAAAACTATTTTTAAACTTAAACGGCGGAAAGTCTGCTAGTCAGTTGGTTCAGTTCGTTGGGTGAATGGGCGCTTGGGCGGGCGGATGACCGTCGGCGATGACTGCCCCGCGCGCGCGGCACGAACGTGGCGGTAAGGCGCGCGCACGCAGACCTCGAAATCAAAATCACTCCAATACTTAGCACAACAACACAAACTACTTTTATAGTTTATATATACATGTGTATCTATATATGTATGTGAGAATGTTAAATAAATGTAGTGGAGAATTGCGTAGTCAAAAAAAAAAACAATTATAGACCAAAATAAAGCAACAATGTGGGCAGCAGGAGCCGCCGCAGAGTTGAAAGTGAAAAAAACGGAAAATTGTATGCGCTACGCTCAGCGCACAGTTTCCTCAAAACGCGAAAACACTCTGCAACAGCAGACACTTCACGAATATTTACTTTGTATTTTGCATATACTCTTGCACATATGCGCACATATTTCTATGTATGTATTTCACCCATTTAAACTACTTTAGATGGCGCAAAAAATTCGAATATTGCCAAGTTTTGAGGTAATTTCAAAATACGCACACTCATACCAGCGCACGCTGTGTCAATTTTTGAAAAATGCCTGCTGCAAAATTTCATTTTTGTTTAACAAAATGCACACATCCACCACATGTATTTGTTTTTTTTTTCGATGTACTTTAAATATTTTTAGTAGATCCAACTCATTGCACCGCACTACTTCAAATTGCCCATAACAACTAACGCGCTGAATAAGGAAAAATTTTTGGGAAAATTAACGCAACCGCAAAACGCGACCGTTCACCACGAGGAGCAACTTTCGAATGAATCAGTGCAGCGGCGCTTTGCCTTGTGTTGCCCACAGCGACGCACCAGTCAGCGCGCAGCGCACGCACCCACCACCCGCTCGCTTGGCGAAGCGCGCGCGCTCTCTTGCCGCCGCGCGGCATTTTTCCAACTGTTGCTGCAGTAGGCTTGTACGCGCCGGTGTTGCCCCAATTAATTTTTAATTTGTTACTAAATCATCCGAAAAAATCAACAAACTTAGTTTATGTGCAGAAGAATTCATATATACATACATATATCCGACGGTAGTGCTACAGCTTTACGCTTCCTCCGAATGGCGAACGGTTTGTTTGTGAGAGCTACTGTCGGCCGAGGTTTCACCGAATTCGATATTGGTTTTAATATTATTCAGTTCAGGCACGGCTAATGGATTTAACCGAGTAGTGAAAAACCCCCATAAAATCGTCTTAAAAGTTGGCAGAATTTGAAGAGCTCTCCGATTCCGTGGCCAGTTTCGGTTAGGTTATTTAAACATACCAAAGTCAAAGCTAATAAAATAAAAACTTTAAGGTGAAAAAGGTAGCCGGGTTACGTTAATAAAACACGTCTTATCCGGTATTTATCTTGCATGATATCGAATGTTTCTTTATTCCGCTAACTATTTAAAAGATGCTGTACTGGGCGGTCATGCCTAACAGGCTAGACCTATAACTCTGTTGCTCTCACCATTGTCACCCATTCTCATCGTTTCTGTTCGCACCCTTGGTGTTGTTCACCTCGTTGCTTGCGCCACTGCGTTCAATGTCCTGAAAATTACTGACTTTCACCAGTAAAGTTACCAAACTGAAAAACAAATTCTTTACCAAATTTGATAAAGAAAGAAAAAATCTACCACTTTTGGCAAAAAAAAATCGCAGACGGCAACGCTGGTACTCGCGTGCAGTTGCAGTAAGTAGCGGCTATCTCTAGTGACGTTAACTTCAGCCGCGCGCTGCGTTGCAAGTTTCATCTTTTGGGTGATTAATGCCGGCAACTGTTCGAAATATTGTTAGTGTGTGTGTGTTTAGCGGCGTTTCATGGCACGCTGCCAGCGTCGAAACGTTTGTATAGTTGGCTGTGTTTTTCTGTGGCGAACAACCGAGAGACAGAGAGAACAAAATGTGCATGTGTATGTAGCGCAGGAAATGCCCAACAGCTGTACTCATTAGCAACAATTTCGGGCAACATGTCGCAAGTGACTAGCAAAATGTTTATAAACATTTTGAGACTAGTGGATATAATTTAAAGAAATAACTTAGATAAAAAATTCCAAGTATAGACAGACAGATATCAACATGAAGGGGCGCCGCGACGAAGTGATCTATTGTGCCTTATACTCTTCACAACATTTCTTCTGAGCCTAAATCTCTCAGAAAGTTAAGGGGAGCTTTCGGGCGTATGAAGCGAATGTGCTCAAAATCAGGCCACATTGAGTCAAGATTTCTCTCGTATCTTCCTGCAGATGGCACGCGGCACACTCAGCGAGCATATGCAATGATGTCGCATCAACGACAAAGATCATTTGACCATATCCCCAGCCTATTCAGATGTCCTTTTAGCCCAACAGTGTCCTGTTAGTAATCGAAGTTTCTATCCTTGGCAGACGGAATATCTTCATGTTGCACCCTCCCAGTGATCCCTTTACCTGATGCAGCCCAACTGAGCTGCGCCATTTAAAATCGCCAAATTTAATGGTATTAGCGCCTACGCCCAGCTGGGGCCATTTGGAGTGTTGGCTGCCCGTAGCCTTTCTAGCAAGATAGTTCCTTTCTCCTCCTTCTCGTTATTCCCTTTTTTGCTAATACGCATTGTAGATGGATTTTTGCAGGGGTGCCTAAATTATGCGCACACCCAGTCAAAAGAACGGAATGAATCTGGCAGTGCTACAACGCCATGATGTGAAAATTATGTATCGCAACTTTAACGCCAGGTGGGTCTTAAGAGGTTTTTTTGGTACCTCCGAAAGGAACACAATGGAGTGAGTTGAAACATCGGCAGAGTAATAGAAGGTATGCTTAGATAGTTATTAAATTAAATTCGAAGAGTCGAAATTTTGTATGGCATGTGCATCTGTGCGATAGGGAACATTAGTCCTTATAGTCTTTATGCATGCAGAGGGCGAACCTCTCAAACAATCGTATAAGCAGCAATAAATCTCTGCATCCGGATTTTACTAAACTTAGAAACGAACTTCTTAGTTGTAAAATACCAATGGGGTAGGTAGGTTTAATGCCAAACCAAGACAAACCGTAGATGAAAACCTGTGAACAGTAATCCGAAAACGAAATAATAAACGGTGATACCGGGGGGATCGGTACATAGACGGTAGGAGGTTTAGTGGGTTAAAGTCTCACTCTGACGGTTTTTGGGGTTAGGCTTTCGATGCTTCGTACTCTGAAAAAAAAACCAGGCCTCTATTTTGCGCAGAAGGGGAAGGGAATCTGATAACAGAGAGGAGAAGGCACTCTCAGCTTTTTTTAATCGCAAACACAGGACATGCATTGAAAAATATTCCAGACGAATTTATAGGGACTTTGCTCCTATCCCTCAACATGAGCAAGACGATGTAAGGAATTGCTTTTCGTACCTCGTCAAAGTCCAGCGTTTGTGACAGGGAGCTCGGTTTCATTACCTCACTATTTTCGGCGCTGCTCATCATTCAATAGGGTGGAAAAGTTGGACCAGTTTTTTACTCCATAATTTAACTGGGGCATCGGTCGCTTGGTCCCTGTGAGTGTTTTATAGTAATTCTTCGTATAATTCGCGCTGATCTTGAAACCAACTGTAAGACGCCTAACTTTTAGATGAAAGCGTTTATCCTTGCGTTGCGGCTAACTGCAGTGTGGCTCTGTAGACGGCATCGTTTTTTTCTTGTACGTTGTGACATCTCGCGTTCTACCAGTTGTTCTTATGGGCTAGCTGAAGAAGTAATTGAACTCTTCGGTGGCGGTGAGTAGTGAGCGGCACTTACAATCACACTATTTGTTGCTGCAGAGTGCTTTAAGGGAGTGTCAAGTGCCGAAGATGCAGGCTGTGTGGAATGAATTTTGTATTGCTGGACGCAAATTTTTTAGGTTAATCACCCCAGTGCGTTATCGTGGTGGCTAAATATTCCGACAGTGGGACTAAGGATTCCTTCCTTGCCTCCCCTTGCTGTGAAATCGCTAAGCACTACGGGGGCAGTGCTCGTAGGTTCGCTCAAGCGCTCCTAAATGAGGTATTTACACGCCTCGTCCTGCTTATCCGTCAGAGTATGGTCGCAATAAGGCGAGAACGGCATAGAGCACATTCAGAATGGGCGAATATGTAAAACTGCGAATGGAATTACGAAAACTTCATACACATTTTCCTAACCTAACATAACCCTAATCTCATCGCTTGACCCCCAATCTAACCCAGTTAAAATCTTGCATGTACCTTTTTTCAACTAGTTTTCTCACCTCGTATTTACTCGCAGCAAAATATTTTTCAGGTGAATCACGACTATCGCAAATGCTGTTGGATAATTCTCAAGAGTTTTTTTCCTCATTTCCATTTCCGATGGCCAACAATAATTTACATACATATATCTAATTGTCTCACGCATTTTTAGTTCATTAGTCGATACTCTCGAAATTCTTTGACGTTAATTTCTTAAATACACTAATCCTTTATTCTTGTTTTTTGTTGAAATAGCTATTTATGTGATTTAGAAAATATTTGAAATACCAAACCTCCATGACCTATATACGAGACACAAAAATCGCATAGTTTGACATGAGAATCGAACATAAAAAATTATATCGCTGATAAAGACCTTCGAGGCTGTCGATGCGCGCCACGATATAAGAATTTGAAAAAAAAAAATAAAATAAAAAAAAAACATTCTTAATTACTGTAGACTTAAATGTTTCGTGTCATTTCTTGTTATTTCTACTTAAAACAAACAGAACAAATACCGAAATATGTATGCGCCACAATTCACATGCCAATATGTTTTAGGATAAGTAAAAAATTTAACAAAAATAAATAAATAGAAAATGTGTAGTATATTTAAATTGGAACATACTGAAGCATCAAACGCGCAAAGCAAAGTAGACAACAAGAAGAAATAAATTTGGAGAAACCACAGAAGTGTACTGGCGAAACAAGCGAAACAGACGGGAAGATGTCAAAAATAAGACATTTGGCTGGCAGACCATTCATTGGTTATGGTTCAATGGACACTCAAAAAGACACTCGCTGGCGTTTTGGCAAGCGAATTGATACTTCTCTTTTTTTGCTGGCTGGCTGGCTGGCGCGCATTAGAGAATGCGGGTGGTGTAAGAGGGAGAGTGACAAGATGAAATAAAACAGGATTAAGTGAAGAAGCGTCTTTATCTGCTACAGAGAACTGAGCAATTCATAATATTTTGATATAAATTTTGGTTTTGCTGCGCTTCAAAGCAGTCGGTGATTAAGTGCGCCCGAGCAGGCAAATATACTTCTGCATATGTAGGCATGAATATATTTAGCCCATCGCAGCAGACATTGCAGAAAATTTATGTGCCAAGCGTGCGTATCGAAAATTCAACATACAACTGTGTGACATATATAAATATGTATTTACATATACGTATGTAGATATAAATATACACGCATTTTTTTTTGATAAATCCATTCTAGCCTCAAGGCGTATTGCTTGGTTCTAAAGCGAATAAAGAAGTAAAATATGTTTTGAAGAAATCCAAATGACACTGGCGCAACATCCGGCGGATACGTGTAATGCACACACATAGAGCAAAGTGTATGCCAAAGTGGCTGTTATTGCTGCTCTTCGGAAGACTTCTTTTGCGTGGGTGGCATATTTTGATAGATTCTTTTCTTTCACTTTTCTTTGAGGAAAATGTAATATATTGTTGACGAGTGGTTGGAGGTGCGTACTTCCCGACCCGCTGGGGCCTAGGTTGGATTCCTGCCCCCAAGCGCAATCCAACAAAATATTTTTTCTGAAGCTGTCGTCCC